AAATCAAAACTTTTCATCTTCTTTATTCTTCTTCTTTCCTTAAAGTGTTAATGGAGCTTTAACTTAGAAAAAAAGAAATGAGGGTTTCTTATAAGAGATTAACACCAAGAATTTATGGGTTAAGAAAAATAAAAGAGAGAAAGGGTATGATTAGAGAGAGAAACATGGTTATAGAATAAGGAGGAAGCTTGTAAGGAATTCTTCTCAAATCATTAGTTAAAGTGTTCTAGTAACCTAATTTCTTGTTCAATTGTGTTTTAATGCTTAGGGAAAGAAAATCTTTAATTTGTGATTTTCTAGAGTTCATGTGATTTTGAATGGAAATTCCAAATTGAATGAACTCATACAAATTTGGGTTGTAAAGACATGAACAAAGATTAAACAAAAAAAAAGCCTTGAAAAAAAACTCTTGAAAAATTTAATCGAGTTGTGGTTGTCCATGGAAGAGTTATATTACGACTGAAATTTATAAAATTATATGTTATTAAGATAAATTAAATGTGTACATATGTGTAAAATCATTTTAGGATTAAGGAAAATATCTAGTTACTTGTCCAATTTATGTTCTCTATGAAGCTAAAATTTCAAACAAATTTATCACTTATCTTCTAACAAAAATTAGAACTTGAGAATAATGGCATTTTGGATAGGTTTTTTTGTAAAATTTATAGATATAAGCTAAATATTAAATAAAGATCAAAACTGACATAACTCCTGGATAGATTTTAAATGTTACTATGATTTGTTATTTTAAGCTTATAAATGGTATAGTTGTGTGTTTTGTTCTGTATAAAAATTGTAGTTTTATATCTTAATTTTCCAACAAGATAAACTAAGCCCAATAACTCTATTTATGATCAAAACACTAAAGTATATTCATGTTTGGTTAGAGCAAATCAATCAGGATTTGTCATTTTTAATTTTTTTCTTGAAATTGGGTGTAATTTCTTGTTTGGAGGGGATAATTATTCCGTGAATAAGCATAAAAAATATATTGTTGAACAAATAATTGGTGAAGCTTAGGTATGACTGTAATTTGTGTAAAATAAATTGTAACATATTGTATGGACTTGATAACATGTAAAGTTAAGGAAAGAATGGAAGAAGAGTGTTAATGAACACAAGGCCTATATTTCGGCCAAATGGAAAAGTTACGGGGAGGTTCTTCATTTGTGTATCTTATATATACATGCTTAAGATGAATACCTTTTTAGTAAAGTTATGGTGACATGGAATGAGATTGTGTATTTATAAGGCTATAATCTTGAATGGATTTATTCAATGTAAGTAAATATTGCTTGTTGTGAAAATTGAATGATAGAAGTTAAAGGATGTTATAAAGTCTAGGAACATGTTAAACTTGAGAAGAATAGGAAGAAGGGCACTTGATAAATAGGAGACATGGATTTTGGCCATAATAAAAAAGTGTAAGGGAAACACCTTTCACAATGGAAGAATTTTGAGTGTGGTTGATATTATTTTAGTGATGTATTTATTTAGTGTACATGCATGTCATTGGAAAAAATAAACATAAATAGATGAATTTAAATGTACTTGAGAAAAATACACATAATTAGTATTGATAATGATGCAACAAATGAGGAAAGAAGTAAAATATTATGTGATTATGAAGTACATAGATATGCATGTATGTATATAAGATACTTGCAATAAATCAGAAAGGAATATCAAATAGAGAAGATAGCATGAGAAATTATAAATGTGTAAATGTTAGGATTTGGGCATAAAAATGCAATACATGGATACGTCATGGTTGAATTTAAACTAGTGGCTAATTATTATTATTATTATTATTCATTAGAAGTTGTTGGACATTATCATGGGATAGGTGCTTGACACCTTAATAATTTTGTTTAACAAATTTATTAAGTTAAGTTGCTATAAGGCCTTTGAATGTGATATGTTTTTATATTAATATTAATTTATGAGAACTAGTTACCTGAACAGTGAAACTAATTACTCGATATTAGAACTAATTCTTGAAAATAGACTAATGACATTACTATATTTGTTTATTTAGGACGGTATTGAGTCAATCTTAAAAAATCAAAGGATATGCATGATTTATAATGGGTTGCAAATAGTGAGATTAAAACTGTTATTTATATTAAATAGTAAAATAAATAAAGAATTTGATACGATCCCAATAAAGTTTGCTAAAAGTTAAATAGAGTGTATGTTACATTATTCAAAAGAAAATAATTGAGGATGTCATATAAAGTAATTAATAAGTTATTTAGCTTAACAATTGATTACAATCATGACTTATAACGGACAAGGTGGATATGAGTTTTTGACTGCATTAATTGACAGGTTAATATTTGAGTATTAAATTAGGTATACTGACAAAGTTTAATAGAAAGGAGTTAATTTTTGGGAAGCGTAACGGTTTATAACAAGTAGTAAGAAAAGGAGATGATAAAATAGTTCCTTGCCCCTCAAGAATTAATCAATTGAATTTAATCATGGCACTGAACATTATCAAGGAAATGAGTAGTGGCCGGAGATCAAGAGAAATGCATCAAATCTCCATGCATGTTTGAAGGGTTCTGGGTCCTCGTATTGTTTATCGTCTGAATGAATCATCAAGCTGGAGTTTGTTTACTATTAGTGTTGCGGTCCCTAAATGAGGTTTGGAGGGCACAAATTTGATCCCAATTACATGCATGAATGATCCTTTTGAGTATGAACAGAAATATGATTTTCATCACGACGACGTGTATACATATCCATCGATCCTTGTATGAGTGTACGTGTGTATATAATCGAACTTGAACAGTCAATAAATTTAAAAAAAAATTATGTTACTATGAAACTATATAATAAGAGCGTTGAACATGCAAAAAAAAAAGAAAAAAAAAAGCATGGGTGACGTTTTGCTTTCCATTTATCGTGTATGGCAGGGGATTGTTGACCTCCATCAATTGATTACGACCGTAAACTAATTGCGGCAAGCTGCATGATTTATGGGGCATGCTCTCTTGAATAACATTTAAGTACTCCTGTTTTCAGACTTCAGCGACGTGATTAACTGTTTTCTTGGTGACACGTATTAAAACAAGGTTGACATCGGAACAAGCTGTACTTGTAGTCGTAATTAATATTTGTGAATGCCGGCGGGAGAGGTCAGAGCGAGCAGCACGGGTTTGGGATAATGGATGCCCTAGCAACATTCAACTTGCATTAATTAATGCATGCGCTCAATCCGTGAACTAGAGGGACATTGAATTTAAAAGATAAACCACACCATGATTCTCAGCAGAATTAATTACTCCAGCTCCTGCAGTCTATGATCACAGTAGTAGTGAGTTTAATTTTCTTTTCTTTTCTTTTTTATTCCCAAATGAATGAGCGTAGGAGAATCAGACACTACAAGAAAGAAGTGAAATTTTAAAGTTAATTCTTTTCATCTTAAGCAGTAGTCTTAATGCATTGCCAATAAACCCAGCTTAAATATTGTAATGCATTTCTAGCAAGTATATCATAGAAGCTGCAGTCCGGAATTATACGGGTTGGTTTTTAATGCAATGTTCATGTAAAAACTTGAATCTAATTTCTTTACCTGAGCCCAACCCGAATCTACCAGGTTTCAGGTATCCACCAAGTTTTTTTTTTTATTCCTAAAGAGCTCTCCAGAACCCACTTTTCCTCTTGATCTCAACATCGCTACAGACGTTCATCTTGAGCAAGAAATTAAGTTCGTATCCTTTCTGAACTTTACTAGAATTTTTGGGCTCCCAAGTAATATTCTAAACCATGAAACTTGATCATTTTTTTGCTTTTCATTTTCTATAAAGGAATGAAATGCGACAAACACTGCCTGCCTCAACAGTGCATGAAAAACTACTGGAAGAGATCTGTGAGCAGGAGTAAGAAGAGAGCCTTTGCTCTCCACGGTCTGAAAAGACTAGATTGACCAAAAGGCCATTCAGACAATAAACACACGTACCAACTGAGGATGATGGTGAGTGCTGGAAGATCTAAAAAAGCAGTGTAATATTGATCAAACAAATCATTCTTCTTTCTTCCATGGCTTCTGATGAAAAAGCTAGCTCCTCTTCAAATTGAGTAACTTCAAGAACCCAAAAGGATTCCTCTTCTTGATGTTTCAAGAACTAGCTATATCTTCAATGGTCTACGAAGGGAGTTTAATTTGGTGTTAAAATGAAGGCCATAGCTGGACAAAACAGCATGATATTGTGATTATAATATAAATGAATGAGTCACAAAAAACCAAGGTTCCGCATGCGGATTAATGTAGGTGGTCTAGACAGTACTGCAGGGGCAGCTAGATAGCAATTATCGTTGCACAATAACTGCGTTCAATGAAAAATATCGTTGCTTCTCCTGCACATATGTTTGACTTTCAAAACCCAGGGCGGGGTTCCCGTGTGAAAATCTTGCAAAAGAAGAAAAAAACATTAAGGACATTAGCTAGAAAAGTTCTTAACTTGTGGCTGTCGTTTTCGGAATGTGTGTATCCGCGTTTCAAACGGCAGCTAACGGTGGTGTCGTTTTGGAGTTTGGCTAGTGGGAGTGGTTTCTTAAAAATATTTTTTATTTAAAAATATATTAAAATAATAATTTTTTAGTTTTAAAAAATTAATTTTTAACATAAAAACAATATAAAAATAAAGAAAATAATTTTAAAGTAAAATTCAATTTTTTTCAAAAAGATACACCTTCAAATTTTTCCCAACCTTTCCAGACAAAACCTCTTTTTTTCCATTAATCAAACTAACTTGAAATAAATATCTTTTCTTCTTTAACGAATTTGCTTTTGGCATTGTGCCACCTATTACATTATTTGAAAAACCAAAATTTTAAAAAATATATATATATACACACACTACATTTTTAAAAAAATTATAAGCTCTTATCTTAATTTAAGATTAAAAACATAATAAAATAAAAAAATATAACCAAAATGTACATCACACTATTATAATATATTTATATAAATTAGAGTGACCCCAGTATAAGAAAAGTAAACCTCTGTAAGATTGATAATTATCGAACAATCAAAGTCCATGTAGGCACCTGTAAGTGTGTGAAAAAAAGCTATGCGTGATATTGTTTTTACATAGAGAGTATAAATTTATACGATACAAATTGAAAGGAAAAATAATATGCGAGGAAAAAACTAACGAAATCCTGAGTTTTTTGTTTTCTTTCAAAATCGGATTGCATTCCTCCCGTGATCAAGCTAAGAAAGAAAGAAATGAATGAATCTTTGACTAAAGAACGGTCCCTTCGTAAATGGTGGTTAATCTGAGCTTAAATGAACGAACAGCCAATTTTGCTCGTCTGGAAGTATATTTTTGAAATTTTCTAACAGAACCGGATCTTGAAAACACAATGGGATTAGCTGGCTGCCGCTGCTGGACCTGTGGCTTTGGCTTCCTATCAAAGCTGATTTTGACAACGTTATGTCCCTGGTGTTCATGATCAGGATTAACTAACAAGACAGGAGAAATCCGCGCCTTCTTGCCGCGACGGGGGTCCTTGTTAGAGGAGTTTCGAAGGGCTAGGCTAGCTTTGACAGCCAAAGTTGCCATATCTGAAGAGGTTAGCCTGTGTTGGAGCTTTGATTTAGGAAGCACAAAATAGATCTGATCGGCATGGAGAGGGACCTCTGAATCCAGGGCAGGAATGTGTTCATCGTATAATAGAAGGTCGGAGTTGCAGAGAAACCAAGATGATGACGATGAAGAAGAGGAGGAGGAAGCAATTTCAGCCTGAAGAACTTGAGAAACAAAGGCAGGGAGATAGTATTCGCGAAGATCACCATGAATTGAAATAACTTTGGCGGTTTGAGGAAGAACTTGCTCTGAATCTTCGCCCAAGAAAGAGGAAGAAAAACAACCACCCATCTGTTATTCCTTCTATTTGATTCCGAGGCCGAGTTGCAGCTGTTCTAGAAGAGAGACGTGAGATGCTGGGAAAGGGTATTGATTCGTCAGTGCTGGAGAATATTTGAGGAGGAGGAGGAGGAGGAGGATAGCTAGATACAGGGTGTGTAGTCAAGGAGAGAACACGAAGGGAAATTGCGGAGCCTTTGCTATTAATAAAGTGAAAAGGCGCGTGTATGGTAATAAGGGTGATTTTTCCGCTAATGGGATATTAAATTAATAGATAATTTTTTAAAAATTAATTATTAATTTATATGTAACAATTTTTAAAGTTAATAATAAATTTTTAATTTAAATATATTATTAAAAATATTAAAAATAAATTTAAAAATATATAAAATAAAAATAAAAATAAATTCACTATTAAAATTATATCCTTTAATATTTTATGAAATATAATTCATCTATAATCGAATTTGAATCAATATTATAATAACCTCTCAATCGATATAAAATAATTAAATTTTTTTCATTTCTATTAATTTTTTCTTTTTTCATTTGATTATTTTTTAAATTAGTTTTTTATAAGTTTATTCTCTCACTTTTCTTTTTTTTCTTGAATTTTTTTGTTTTTTTGTTTTTTTTTCTCTTTCTCTCTCGCCTTTTCTTTTCTTTTCTTTTCTATTCTACTTCTATCCAGCCAACAACATATAAAAGGAAGGAAAAGCTAATTTGTTTTATTTTTTAATAAAAAATAATTATTTTACCTTTAATGAGTCGTTTTGCTTTTATTTAATAGTCTTTTTTTTTTGTTAACATTATCAAGCTCCGTTCATTCTAAAATTTTAACCAAATTATATTCAATATATTTTAAGATTTCTTATAAAATTCAACTCAATATGATAATTAAATTGAAAATTATGCTTAATAACATAAAACTGGTCAAATTATAATTTTTTATTAAATTTTATAATTTCTTCAAAAATTCTGAAATTTTAACCCAAGTTAAAGTATTATATTAAAAAGTTCCACCTAAATTTTAAAAATCTTTTGATAACTCAATTAAAAATTATAAATTTTTAAAAACATAAAATTAATAAAATCTTGACCTAATCATACCCAAACCTTTAAGATGCCTCCCCTTAGTAATGGTCTGTTGGGGGTGATGAAGTAGCATTTTCAGGCGTAGAGAGACGTAAGCAAGGCCGTCATAAAGGAAACTAATTCCCTTATGTTGCCGTGGCAGAACTTCCTTGTCCCATACACATCCCCGCTGCCTGCCTGTTTATTCTCCCAGTCTTTATAGTATTGACCAGGAAATGATCAATAATAATAGAACTCAGCTCCTGTGCATTGGTGTACTCTACCCAGCAATTACGTGGTACGCGGCTGGGAGCATCAACAAGTCAACAACCCCGAGTCCGAACATCGGGACTGGAAGGGAAGGCTTAGGGTTGAGCCTCCAATGCCGACGCGTCTGCGAGACTGCAATCACACTGTACTGCGCCGCCCACGGAATTGTTGGTCTTCATGTTAGTCCAACGGGCCTAGTAGTGATAACAGCCCAGCACAGGATCATATTCTTCGTTCCTATATTATCCATCACCTTGGGTGCTCACAGAAATGAGCATTCGCAATTGGAGACCAGCACGCACGCACTCCATGCTTTCGAATTGTCAGACAGGGAATGGTTCAGTCTCCTCCATCCCATGTATTCCAATTTCCAAAACACACACACGCACACACACAAAACATGTAAGAAACTCGCGGGGCAATATTGTCTTCGGCTTAAATAACAAAATAAATCATATGAGAAACACGCCGCAGGCTGAATAATCTCCACTGTGAATGCTCCCGAGCTTTGTTTGGCTCGGCTTTTGTTTCTTATGGAGTGAAAATAAAGAGTGTTTGAGGAGACAAAAACAAATTATAAATCATGTACGTCTATTAGTTGAGTTTCCTCTGCATGATATTTGATGCAAATCCCTACGTGCACTCGTGTTTTGTTGGATCAATATGTTAATTTGCTTCAAATTTCCCAGGTGCACACTACAAAGTGGTAACTCAACGGGGAAGTTGTTGATGAGTTATAATTTAATTAATAGTATTGACTTTATTTATCTCTTTTAAAAGATTTAGAATTCGAACATCTTCTTTTATATTAAAAATAAAAAACAGAGATTTCTAGTCTACATGCTCTTTTATTTTATTTTATTTTGATTGAATCAACCTTTTTTATTTTTATTATAATACCCTTTTTCAGAGTATTCGTTAGAATGTTTACGAGCCGCAATCCAATAATTCATATACTTTTAACATCTTCGTGTTCAAGGTGGAAGTTAGATGACTAAAATACAATAAGGTAAATGAGAGAAGGAAAACTTAATAAATCAAACTACATTAATTTTTAAGTTTTTACTTTTTTTTCTTTAATTATATAATTTAAAAATTAAAATAATTATTTTAACAGATAGGTATTGTCATATACTTGTATATGCCTCCATAACTATCCATACAGAAGACTCAATTAATATATAAGATGAATGGGATTTTTATTAAAAAACACATTAACAAAATCTGAATAAAACCCTTTAAAAAAAAAAAAACTTTTAAGAATTAGTCTTACTCGTAACCATATTGAATATTTCAAAACAAGCGTGCTTGCTAGGTCAAGTTTGGATTCCACCTGTAAGAAAACCAGCCCTCGATCGAATTGGAATTCCCTCCCCTCTCTGTCGCTCGCTCTGTTTTCTTCTTCTTCTTCATCCCGGACATGGAAGTGCCGTTTCCCGTTTCAAATTTGAGATTTATGGTTGGAAACATTGTTTTTCCCTATATCTTGAACTGAAGCAAACTCCCCGAAAAGATGAGATCCGATTGAAACAAGCTCTACATCTTAATTTAGAAACAGGAGCACCAATTTGAAATAGTGTTGGAGCATGCATAAAATTATAACAAATTAGCGACTGTCATCCTTTGTAATCGGAATGATGTCAATAACGTGTGCTTTAAAAAATTCAAAGCAATCAGGAATAAAATAAAAAAACGTCAAAATTTGGATATGTCATGTCCACCTTAGTTTTGCCCCCATCCGCAAACTGACAGAGGACAGTCCACTGGATGTTAAAGTAATAATTATTCAGGTAGTGGTAATTATTTAGGATGAGGGTATGATTTTAGGTTCGAGTCTTTCAGGATGTAGGATGTGTATACGATTGTTAATTTTAAAATTTATAAAATTAATTATGATAGGATTGTTAACTTTAAAGTTTATAAAATTAATTATAATATATATAAACTGATTTAAATATTTATATTAATCAAAAATAATAATTATTCATAAACTGATTTAAATATTTATATTAATAAAAAATAATAATTATTCAAAAAAAAAAACAGAGAGATAACATTCCAAAAGAAAACAGGCCATGGTAGCCCATTGTTCTGGCTTCCCATCGTTTTAAAACGATGGCTTTAATTAACAATCTCATAGCAACAGTTGAAATGGAAAAACTAGATGAAGTAAACAGTGGTCTTTGCATTATTTTCTTTTAATTTGCTGGACTATATCGATGAATTTAGATCATCTGTAATCTTATTAATATTAATTTAAAAATATTTTAAAAAAAATCTGTGAAACTAAAATAAATAAATAATAAATAAATAAATATAAAATTTGAATATTCCTTTTAAATTTAAACATTAATAAGGTCTTCGCCTAGACCGTCAAACAAAAAAAAAGAAAACATATATACCACTCCTATATAATTATTTTTATTATTATCAATTAACGGAGTTTAATTGCCTCAAAGTTTTTTATAATTAGCAGCAAAATAAATATTGCTAATACACGATATAGTGATAAAACTAATGATGTAGATCTAATGTATAAACATCCGAGTTAATTATAGATTATAACTAATAAAATGATTGTATAATGATTATGAATATGGTAATGATTATTTTTAAAATATTTTTTATTTAAAATATATAAAAATAATATCTATTTTAATATTTATAAAAAAATCTAAAAAAATTCATTTTATAATTATTTTTATTATTATCAATTAACAGAGTTTAATTTGCTCAACATTGTTTATAATTAGCAGCAAAATAAATATTGCTAATACACGATATAGTGATAAAACTAATGATGTAGATATAATGTATAAACATCTGAGTTAATCATAGATTATAACTAATAAAATGATTGTATAATGATTATGAATATGGTAATGATTATTTTTAAAATATTTTTTATTTAAAATATATAAAAATAATATTTATAAAAAATCTAAAAAAAATTCATATTTAAAATTTTTGGAAACAATTTAACCATGTAACCCAAGTTATCCCACCACCTAAGCCTTTTTCTAGTATTAAAATATATACTTATAAAATGCAATTATACTAAGAAATAAATTGATTAATTTATTACAATGTTGGAAACTATTTAATTATTTACCAAATACTTAATTTCTTTCATTCAATGTTCCATGTGAATCATTTGTTTTTTTTTTTATGTTTAGTACAAAAAATCACGCAACCTATATAGTACAAATAAATTATTTATTAGTAAATAAATAATAAAACTGAATAATAAGATTTAGAATTTTATCTTAATTTTAATCTCACCTAATTGCAACGTGATCTCGCAAACCCTCTTTGCAATAGTATTGTCATCTTTACTCCATTCAAGTTTTTACTTACACTTAAAAATTTTACAAGAAAAATTTTATTAATATTAATAAACTAATTAAAGTAATATGATAAAAACATATTTAAGTTAATACTAACCCTAAACCTTATAAACTATGCATCTATTATAAATTTTCATTTAGGATGTTTGAAAAACCTGACGCCATTTAAACAAAAAAAAATTTATCATCAATGGTATAGTCTATTTTAAAAAAAAAAACATCAACAACACCTTTCTCTATATGTGAAACTACCTAAAAAATTTTAAATCTACAAATACACAATAATTTAAATTAGGTTGCCACAAACCATTTGATTTCATTTTAATCCTTGCCAATTAAATAATTTCAATTATGTTAATTTAATTAAGTTTTCAATTAACTTTGCTACAACCATTTACAAAATGATCATATAGTGTTACTATAAACACATATTTCATATTAATAACTATTCATTTATCTTGGTATCTTAGATATTATTAATTTTTTATTTATCAAGGTTACTATTTTTATTTTTTTATTTTTCATGATATTAAAAATT